GTGTCGACTGTAATTACACATTCTCGTTGATCAACTTTTCCGTTCAGCCATAGGTCGTTTCGATTTCGATGTAGTCTGGAAACGTTAATTACGGTACTGGGGGCGTCAATTCTGATAGCCAACCTCTGCCCCACAAAGTTAGGCTCTTATTAGTTTTCCGCCCCTTCTAACGAATGGGCCGATCGTGATACAGGATCATCTTCTCTTCTTTTGCGCCATCTTGTCGCGCAATTTCGGCAGTAGTTATCTTTTAGGCGGTGTTTACAATCACGACGTAGATGGCCTTTTTCATCACAAATCCAGCATTGGGGTACACCATGCTGTTGGGGTTCGCGTTTCACAACCACCTTCTGGCAAGAGCATTCTTCATGTACTTGGCGTAGACGTACGTCACTTTTTGATGCTTGCTTTGCCGATTCAAAAGTGAGACTGTGCGCAACGGCATCCTTGAGTTTTTGTTTATCTGACAAGAGAAGGGATTGCTTGAGTTCCGAATCACGAAGGGCTTTGATAATCGTATCCAGGGCAGTTTCGTCTCTATGCTCGGGGTCTAATGTCGGATACGACAGCAATGTCAACCGTTCGATATCTTTGTGCCAGCTGCTGAATGGATTCACCAGATCGTTGCGTTCTGTTTCTAAGCTGAGACCGATAAATCTCTTTCATGTGTTCTTCACCATAACGTAAATCCAACGCGCTAACCAGAACTTCATAGTTGAAGTGGTTCTCCGCCGGAATCGTCTGAAGAACTTCTGCTGCTGAACCTTGCAGGGCCAGTATCAGTGCTGTTGCTCGTTCTTTTCCGTTCCAACAGTTACTAGTTGCCGTTGCTTCGAACTGGGTTTTATAAACGTTCCAGGACATCTCTCCGTCAAATGCTGGTACCTTCAAAGTTCTTCCGGATGCGTGATCTAACGGCATGGCCATTTTTTTGGATTGCTCCAATTCTCGCTTCAATTTGTCTATCTTGTGATCTACCTCAACGGTCTGACGATCAAGTTTCTGCTCGATCATTTCTTGTTGACTGTTCTTCAATCTGTTCTGCCACTTACAATTT